TATATGAGCATTTTGGTATGCTAATTTTAGTCTTCAGACTTTGGCTACCACTGCACTTTGGAACAGAAATAAAATCCCCAAAACCAAATTAATACACATGGCATGGGGGACATTTAACTACCCCAAGCATATCACAGGGTAGTAAAACATCCCAAAACAGATAAATGCATGTACTATCAGAAGAAGGGTGCTAAAGTCTGCTTCCCTGGATCCTTTTTTGTTTTAAAAATTCCATATGATATTTTTTACCCCATACTTTCCACTGACTGGAACCAAAATAACAACACTCAAATGGCAAAAAAATCAGTATTATTCACTTCTGTTTTGAGTACTTTTAACCAAACTTTCAGGGGATACTGCTGTCACAAGACTATTTGCAAGGCTACAGGGTTATGATACATTTACAAACATCCTGGGAGTTTTCTCAGTGGTCAGTTGGTGAAAAATGTTGGTCTTTCTCTGCCCAGGGGGATGACAGCACTAACAACCCTCCCTGTGGCTTCCTTGATGGCCTGGCTGCTGCAGTAGTTCCTGACAGCTTGCAGTTGTTCTAGCCAGTTGTACTGAGTCCATATTCAACAGCCAGAAACCAACAGTTCTAACCTCCTTATGAAGGTCTTCTCAGTTGGCTGGCAGCCATCCCCACCATATCAGGAAACTTGGGGAAGGATGGCACATTCCATTTCTGTTGCCACTGTGGCCCCTCAGTGGCTGCCTCATTTTCTCTGATGGTGAGTGTCATGGCTGCTACCAAATCACACTTGTGGGGCCTCCAATCTTCTTGGCTTTGCCTTCCTTCACTCCCTATGCTGCAGCCTGATGTAAATGGCTGCTGCTGGGAAGTATTTCTGCTAAAGTACTTTTTTGCATTGTTGACTGTTATACAAAATATTACTGAGAATAACAGTAACTGACAATAACTGCTTGTAAAAACCCGATAAGAGAACCTAAATTTTCAGTTTTATAATCCCAAGAATGGGTAGTTGGCAGTTAAACAAGTCTTATTTTCAATTTAAAATACAAATTCTCAGTAATACAGATTCTCCAATAAATGAGTGCTTACTATGTGTTGATGCCTTTAAAGCTTCATCTCACACATTTCCTTAAAGGATTTTCCATGGGGAAAAGAAAGATAGCCTTTTATGAACTGAGACATCCAGCACAATTCTAGTAATGTTTGCTCAAAATACAGTTCCAGTACATCCAGTGAGATTAATTCCTAGGTTAGATCCAGATTAAGTTAGTTGCACTTAGGTCCTGCTGAAATAAATGTAAAGTGTCAGTTATGTCAAGTTAGTTAGAAATGACTAACATCTTACATAATTTCACTGGGCTCTAAGCACCACTAACTTATACTGTGTGTATAGGATTATATTCTAAATTTTTATGATCAGACTGTCTTTCCCAGCATTGTATTATGAAACATTAGGTTTATTTTTTCAGATCGTTCAGGAGAGGCATTTAATCCACTTTTCTTTTGTTTCTTAAACAGTTGGTGTGTGAAATATTTCTAAAACTTTAATGTATCAGTCCAAATAACATTGTGAAAGAGTTCACTTCCTAGCAGACTAATTCACAGAGCCCTCCCAATTGCATCAGCATGAAAAAGGATAATGACCTATACCATAGAGAATCTTTTATCTGTTGGCCAGCAGAGCTGAACTGCTACTCTATCTTACAGTTTGGTACATGCACGTTATAAAAATGCCTAATCAGAAACTGCTGACAAGCAGTCGGTGCACCATGACTAACTTAAACAGTAAATACTATAACGCATAGTGTAAGGGAAGAACAATTGTACTATGAAAGCAAGCCTATCCAAGAAATATCCTGAGTATTGTATCCAACATGCAGAGAAAGAAGACTGAGGCTACAGGCACCTCCAAACAAGGGTTTTATTCTACAGTTACACTGTCTCATACATAGAATTATGGGGATCTACTCTTCCATTTGAAACTCTTTCATGTTCTCTCACTGTTTCTTCTACTAAGCCATTAAAGAATAAATGGAATAGCTGCACAATGTCTTCTGATTGGTTAAGCTAGAAGCCCTCTGTTTGGAAGCACCCTATTGCCAATGTGTGAGTACCTTTTAGTTAGAGCATGAACAAATTCACAGGAAAATTGCCCATGTGGGAAAAATAGTAATACATGAGGCAGCCATAAGGCGGAAACAGAGGTTTAAGGAGAGCCTGTAATAGAACACAAAGTACAAAATGAGGGGCAGCAGTTTAACCACCTGTTATATTTCTTGCTGGCCTGTGATGAAGGACTAATATTGTCAAATGTAAATGGATAGGGTTTGCATTTTTAATGAATTATGGGGTATGTAGAAAAAAACACAAAAATAAAGTATACTGTTCTTTTGAATGCTTTCTCTTCCAAATGCTTAAAGATACATTAGTGCAATGTTTTAGACTTCCTTAATACTAAATCTTAACAGATGAGCCTGAAATGCCCACATCTTTAAAAGAGATCAGGAAGGTGAGGATATTGGACACTGGGTAGATCCATGCCGTAAATCCATGTTCCACTGAGGGACCAGGACCATTTTGTAACTTAAGAAACTTGCACTAGTGACCTATAAGTAGCTTTTAATATGTGATGACTTCCTCTGAAAAAGGTGGGTAAGCCAGATGTGTCATGAAGTCAGCTGCAGATTAGGATCCTTAGGAAAGAGAAACCTGGGATAATGAAAAGATGGGAAAGCTGTCAAACTTGGCAGGCAGCAGTTGTTCTAATTTAAAAAGAAAGTCCAAATCCCAATTCAAGGTGATCTTGGCCATCATGGAGTGGGCAAGATATAGTTACTCTAAGGTAGTATGCTAATGAGTGATGAGATGAGTGGTATAGGCAGGAGAGTAGCAGGTAGGCAGACAAAGTCTTCCACAATGTCTGCAGTAGCTACACTGCTCTTTCTCCCCCATTGGGCCTTTTACCATCAAGTGACCTGAGGGAACAAGTCCAATATTTTAATATTGTTCACTATGATTTTAATAATCTGTCTTTATGTAACCTGTAAGCTGCTCCACAGTTCATTTATATCTCATCAAAGCTGAGATATAAATGAACTGTACCATCCACCTATAAAGAAAGGTATCCCCCAAGGTTGTATCTTCCACTCCTATTCTGCTGCGGAACAAGCTTGCTTACTGTCCAACATGATAAAGACGGGCTGGAGAGCCTGATAGGTGAATGAAGATCCAGATTGCCCACGGAGCTAGCATCCTCTTATGCAAGCAGGTTGTTGACCAGCTGAGCAAGCCTCCAGTGAATGGTCTTTCCTCACCAGACAGGCCACCAACAGTGTTAGCGTTACCCAGTATACCATGCATCAATCTCAGAATTAGAAACCAAGAAACAGCAAGGTTCCAGACCTCCTTCTGCTCTGCAAGGTTCTAGACCTCCTCTGCCCTATCACAGAGAATATGATAACTACTGGTAAGTTATCATTTAGATTGCTCTGCTGTGGATAAAATGCTCAAACATTTAGAACTGTTTGACATTCAAGTATGTTGATGTATAACTGCTATGCATCAGTGGCTATGAAGCACTGACCAGCAGGTCTTTGCAATATTAGTATGGATGAGGACGTAGGAGGTCCACCAGCTGCCCAGGTATGAGATCTGATGTGTATCCCTGCCAGAACCAACCACAGTTGCATTAAATAAACATTGCATCTTCTCCAAGACTGGAGTGGCTGAGTATATATATCTATGAAGTTGTGGGGGTCCATGCAGTACCAAGTGTTGAGCCACTTGCATAGATATCTAAGTAATACCTGGAAATTCTTATGTTCCCACATGTTTAAGATACCTTGGAGCATCCCTCATGCTATTTAGGTAAATGTTCTATCATTGCTAATGTAATCAAGAAAATGGGCAGAAGTATAAATTAAGTGAGCACCTAGTAAGTGTAGGTTATATATTTGAATTGTAAAGTGAACTGAAAGAAGAATTGCTTCAAACCTAGTATCCGAAAACACTCTTAGCTAAATTGTGGAGGTATATACATCAAGAGGCAGAGAAGGGTGATTTTTGTGCATATCGAAGCTGAAGAACAAAGAGTAAAACTGTTCTCTATGCCATGCTACAATCCTGATGAAAATCACCCTCCCACACGTAATGTTCTCTCTCTCTCTCTCCCCCTCTTTCTCTCTCTCTCTGTGTGGGGCGTGCATGTGCATGGGCAGGTGCAGTTGCTTACCACATAATTAAAAGAGCATCTAGTTTGGCCATCACACTATCACTGAGGGCCCTTCAAACAATATTGGAGGCTAATATTTCTCATAAAAAAGGATAAATAATTCAGCATTTGCATTCATGGTTTTATGCCAACTATGCAAGGACTAAACATAGCTTTGGATGTTTCACAAAAGCAGTGAAGAAGAAGGAAGTTTAGATCATTGTGCTTTCTCTCCCTTGGCTTTTTTATTGTATAATGCAAAAACCAAAACAAAACCCCACTTCAAAAAAAAGTCCAAAAAAAAGAACAAAATCAATGCATTACTATTTTTGAATAAAATGTTAAAAAAACCTATAGTGCTAATTGCATATGTATTACGTATCATTACATGTTAGTATATAACAGAACACGGTACAATTATTAAAAACAATTCTTCTGATTTTGTGTAACCTTTCAATTTGCAACAAGTGGGAGCTTTTAAAAACTGTCATATACTTCAGAGCACAGCTGAAAGTTCTGTTTCATGGAGTAGCATAAATGTTGTACACAAGGTGAAATGCCTCAGAATTCAAAATGGGGAAAATCCATAACATTTCTTCAAATCATTCAGTTCCCTATTTATCTGGTCGTTCTCAATTGGGATTTTGTGTCAACTGATGTGAGACTTTCAATATGGATATGGGCACAGCTCAAAAGATGTCCCCAGCTGAGGGGAGCAAAACTTAAGTTTACTTGGAGGACTCAAGAGGCTAATAGTGGATCCAAAAAACCCCATTCTGCTTCAGTAGTTAATGAGTACTTTCCAAAGAAACTTACTTCAGAAAAAAATCCCCAAAATTAGGGAAATTATGTTGTTCTTCCAATTTCATAAGCTGCTTCTGTTGCATAGGTGAGAGCAAGAAAAGCTTCTCTTTCTTTCCAGGGGGACTTCTGTCTTTGTTTGAGCAGTTAAAATGCATACTAAAGGTTGCTGGGGTGGGAGGAAGGAAGAGGTACATGGAAAACATACTTGTTTTAAATTGTATTTGTGTTGTATTCAAACATACTGAATTGACAGTGCACTGTCTCTTTAAGTACAGTCCAGCCTCCAGATTTCTCCCTTTCTTTCTTCTCCACAGTCTCCTTGGATTAGGGGAGACTCCACTTCAGGCATCTGTTTAGAGCTGTTTATGGTATTCTGTGTGGACTCTTTTTTGGCATGCACAGATGATACAATAAACCATGATAAGAATGGACCTCAGCGATCTCAGGCTCATGAACTTCCACCTCCAAGGCAGTCAGAAGCTCTCACTCAGACCCAGTGAACTATGGTTAACCTTCATAATGATTTGTTTGAAACAAGCCACCTTCAAACCATGGTTTATAAAGCTACCTTGTTTCAAATAAGCCATAGTTAAAACAAATCACAGATTGCTGTGTTGAGACTTAATGCTAATCTGTGGTTAATTAACAACAGAAGCAAAATCTTCCAATCACCTCCTAGTGGCTGCACTGGGGAGGGGAGGGGGCAGGGTGTCAGCCTAAGGCTCAATGTAGTTTATTCAAATAATGATAAACCATTCTGAAATATGGCCCAGCTAGATACAAAACCATGCACACAATTAGCACTTGCATTGCCAGCTTTTGAAAAGTAAATAGCAGGCTTGCAAGGGGGCAATCTAGGTCAGGAACCTGGCATGGAGGGGAAGGGAGTTTTTTATGCTTTCACTCTGGACTGGGATCCTGTGCCTGTCATTTGCACTGGAAAAAATTTTTTAACTGATGCCAATGGAAACTTTTCTCCAATACTGATAACAAGCATGGGGTCAGGACTACCAGAATTTAGAATACAGCAGGATTGAAGAGTTAAAGCCCCCTGCCCAACCCTCACCCCAGGGTCCTGACCTTATGTCTGCTATTTACTTTCAACAGCCATGAATGCAATGACATGTTGTCTGGTGTGGCCCTTAAGTAGCTCTCAACCAAAACACTATGCAAGTCAAATAGACATTTCCCATTTCCACTGCAGTCTTCAAACCAATACTATTCAATTAAGGATTCTCTTTGAAAATGTTTCTGCTATTATTAGTATACTTCACATAAGACTTGACAGAGACTTGTAAGGAGTGAGTTTCTTTGTGCATCTGACAGTGCTGTGTGAACATTCAGTGCACTAAATTCACCTACAATATGTCTGAGAAAAAAGGAAAAGCATTATGTAGCACATGCAAAAATGGACTTTTTATATCACAAAATAGTTTAAAAGTCTCAAGGGGGCAGAGCCATAGATTTCATCTTCAAAGCAAAATTAAAAGGGATATTAAATAGAAAGTGATTATAACAACACTCATTTGAAAATTATTAGTTTTTAATTTTGTAGTGAAAGTCCAAGACTATTGTTAATATGAAGAAGTTCATTCATACAACACTATGAAACATATAATTTCTCTTAATCATTTGTAGAATTTTAAAAGCCTAATAGGAATATTGATTTCTTTTTGTTTTATAGTTCGCTTTAGAACTGTGAAATACACTCAGTAAAACTAAAGGATAGTTAATAGAAAATAATATAAGCTGTTAGGTGAAAGGTAGGCAATGTCAGGGACAAATATAGCAAATTTTGATCAATTTAGTTATGCATATATACAAATGAACAGCCCTCAGAAACCCTGAACATTTCCCTAAACTTCAATGCAGCATAAACCTTTCTTAAAGGCAGCATTTATGGGCTTGAGCATGCAGTTTCCTCTTAAACCATGGGAAGAGTTCATTTCCCCTCATCTATGAAGTAACATAATAGTAAATGCTCTTACAGCTAAAAAAAACCACAATGATAATCTCACTTTATGAGCAGCATATAGTTCAAGAATCTCAAACAGTAATTTCTGTAATAAAACTAATGGTTTATCATTGTTTACAGATGATGTAACTTAGAATTTGAACATCATTTAGTGCCCTAATAATGTGCTTTAATCGCCACAACATCCTTTCTTCCCACTCACTTTTAGTAGCTAGCCTTCTAATTGCAGAGGAACCTTTTTGCACAGATCAAGATAAAAAATGTATAATATATTGTGGCAATTGTGTGGAATTTTAAAATCCAGAATCTATTTATGCCATACAGGCTAACAATACTTCTTTAAGAGAAGACACATGACTTTGTCAATGGCCACTCAAGCAGTGCAATATAGTCTCCTTTTGTAACTATGCTAAAAATCATGCTTTTGCTTAAAATATTGTCATAAAACCAGCTTTTTCCATTCATAATGGGTTGATGAACTATGTTCAGTGCAGGATAATAATGAAGACAAAACTGACACAACAGGAATGTAAATAGGTAGAATGTTCTTATACTCACATTACATGAGGGGGGTGGGGAGAGATACCCATCAATTTGGCCACAGTATCCAATTGTGTACTCAGCTGAGGAAAGGATACGGAACAACATGGAAATTACATAAAAGGTATAAAAATTCAAACATGTTCACAGCTTTCCAGGGAAAACTACCAGTGAGCACCTATCACAGACTGTGCTGATGCCCACATGTGCCACAAAAGGAGCCATCCTACACAGGCCATGCTGGGAGTGTGTCCATCACATTACCATGCTCCTAAATGTAAGCAACACAGAGAACAGGATAGCTGGCAAAACTAACAGATGTTACCTGTTAAAGCATGAGATGAACACACGCATGTTGCTATGCTATTTCAAATATGTCCATGTTATCTTCCTACCCCACCCTGCACCTCCAAACAGAATTTCATCCAACAGGTTTACAAAATGTTCTAACTGCTGCAAGCTTTTATTATAAAGGCACTGAAAACTTGGTTCTACTTGCCTTCTGTTTCAGAGTGGCCAAGGGCAATTGACATAGCACAGGTAGAAAACATTTATGGCTCTTACATTTGTAACAAATGATAACAAAGAGAAATCAGAGTTCCTGTTTATACATTATTAGAACAGTGATTTAAATTAATATTCATATCTTTTAAAAAGGAATATAGTGATCTTGACACCTCACTTCTGAGAGAACAATATCAAGTGTAAATAATTGCTCAACTACAGTACTGTGTGGCATGTATAAAATCATAGCACAAGGTGACAAACTTACACCAGATCAAACTTACACCAGATTAATTGGGGATATCTCAAATAAGCTCTTCAAGACACAGAATAGGAATCAAGCAGCATATATTGCTTTAAGCTGGCTGGTATTACTCAACCACACTGTACTGATTTATCAGCAGCCACCTTTTGCCACACATGGAAACACCTGCCCTTTCTCTCTTTCCCTGATGTGAAATCCATACAGAATTTCCAGACAGCATGCAATTCCATAAATAGTAACCAGCTCTGACCCGGCCTCCACAGCATGTAAGGGAGAGACAAAGTGGTCTGATAATACCAGCACAAGTATAAAACATAAGCTTGGCAAAGCACCAGAAAGTCCATAAACAAGACAACTCTTCTAGACATTTTCACAGTTGAGAGTTTGAGCCAGAACATCAAATTCTAGAGAATGTCAATGCCTAGCATCAGTACTAGGGATTTCATCATAAACTATCTTCCATGGCTCTCCTGCAAGACCTCTTTATCTTAGCTTTCTGTTATCTTCAGTTTTATTTGGTATACTACACTTGTGTGCAGTTATGGGCACCCCACCTAGAAAAGGTCATTGAATTAGAAAAAGTGCAGAGAAAAGTCAACCAAAATTATCAAGGAGCAACTCCCCTCTGAGGAACTGTTACAACAATTAGGATTGTTTAGCTAAGAAAAAAGATGAGTAAGGGTAGACATGATGGAGCCAGTGTGGTGTAGTGGTTAAGAGCATGGGACTGGGACTCAGAGGATCTGGGTTCTAGTCCCCGCTCAGCCATGGAGCCAACTGGGTGACTTTGGGCCAGTCACAGACTTTCAGCCCAACCTACCTCACAGGTTTGTTGTTGTGGGGATCAGATGGAGGAGCAGAATGATGTAAGCTGCCTTGAGCCCTTTGTAGGAAAAAGGCAGGATATAAATTGAAAAATAAAAATAAAAAAAAATGGAGAGGTTTAAAGTTATGCATAGTGTGAAGAAAGTGGAGATTTCTCTCTCTCTCTCTCCCCCATAATGCTAGAACCTGAGGTCATCCCACAAAGCTGATTGACTGAAGATTCAGGACAGGAGAAAACTATAAATGGCTAACAGCCTTGCTGGCTAGGTGTTAGTGCCATTATCAAAGGCAGCATACCTGTGTATGCCAGTTGTTGAGGAGCCTGGGCAGACAGAACTCTTGCAGCTATTCCACTTAAGGGATCCTGAGAGCAGCTGATTTGCCATGGTGTGTACAGTGCACTGGACTAGATGGACCATTTTTCTAATCCAGGATGGCATTTCTTATGTCAAAGGAAAAGAGACAACATATACATGTGATATTAAATAAGGCCATGCTACCAATAGCTTAATAACTCCCATTAAGTGTAGTAACTATGCTGTCCTTAACATCAGCACATAGTGTTTTAGAACTTTGTTTTCTTATGCCCCGATTTTGTGAAAGTTAGAACTTGTTCCTGTGCTTATGCTTCAATTCTGCCCCAAGTTATTCAAGATGTTCACAGTTAAACCTACATACATTTCTGCTACTCATTTCCTAATTATCACCACAGTATTCTTCAAGGGATGCCTGGAAGATGGAAAAATCCAGTATTGACTTAGAGATGCAGTTGTCAAACTCTGTTTTCTTTCTGTGCTCTACCCAGGTGACAACTCCATTTCACTCAGTTGTAATGGCACAGTGTTGCCACCACCTGTGTGTTTGTTATCTCCAGGTGCCTCTCATCTTCAAGGCCAGAGTAAAACCTCTATTAATTGGATTGAATGATCTCAGCTGCATTCCTGTAGGAACTTTTACTCTCCCCCACTGGGCTTGGGAATTCTGTGCAGTCAAACCTGTGACTGTCTAATTAAAATCTCCCTTGAGTTGTCACAGGGGTTTCAGTATTAAAACTGGGGGAGGGCTGCCACCCAGTTAGGTTAAGAAAGAACAAAAAGTTCAGCCTTAATGCTATGCAACACCAACTTTCCAAATATGTATGTATTTAAATAAGCATATACTAGTCAGCAAACACGTGTGTCCCTTTCTGAAAGAGGTAGCAATTCCTACATGCAGTCTTTTTATTCTCTTAATATTACTGATTCTTGCCTGCCTATTTATCATACCATGAATCCTGGCTACTGCACCTTTGTATCATGTAATTTGTGTCCTAGCTTCCAAGGTTTCCTCACAGTACTTCTCCTCTCCTGCTGTATTGCTACCATTTTATTGCATCAGTATATGATTCAGGGTCAATTACAAGTCCTGTTTTAAGGTATGATTGCATACAAGCCCACCCAGGTACTCAGGGGCTGCTGTGCTGTCCCTTCTGCAGCCTTTAAAGGAGCATCTAAGAACACCCCCCCCCCCCCGTTTACTCTCTGAAAATTCCTCAGAATATTATTCAGGTTCACTTTTGTCAGCAATTCTCTTAGGACTAACAGCAGGTTTGGCCTTGGGAACAATAAATGTCTTTGGCTCCATGACAGCCACTTCTCTATTTTTGGAGGAAGGGAGAAAGTTGGGCTGACAGCTCTAGCTTATGTCCTGGGCACTGAGAAAGCCTTAGCCAGCAAATCAGCCCTGACAAAAGTTAATATTACCACATCAATATTTCCCTCCATTTCCACCACTGCTTACCTCCCTCAGTTATCTCTACTTCCCAAAATTCCAAAGACAAAAAACCTAAAAAATAAAGATGTGGTGACAGAGGGTTCTGGGAGCACTAAGCCAAATTGAGTTGCTCACAAAAGGAAAAAAAGTGGGATATGAATACAATGCAATAATAATAAAGATGTGTATATGAGTTTTGCCAATATCAATTCCTGTATGTATCTAAACTAGTCTTAATAGATATCAACTTGGATGCGGCCTTACAATTAATAAACATGCCCAATAACCACCAATATTTTCAATTACTGTATATTACCTTTGGATAACACTTTCCTTAATTACAACTTTCAACAATAACAAGACAGGGAGTCCATCAGGAAACACATCACTCAGAGAAGGCATTACTCTCACTGGTTTAGCACATGCTTGCAAAGCATGTAATTCTTCTAGCACATTTGGACTAGCAATAATCAGGATTATTGGCACAAAGCCTGTATGATTGCAGGTGTCACGCACACTAGCTCAGTGTGCCTCAAACTCATAACTCCTTCCACTGTCAGAGTGTAGCCCATGGTCTGGAATCTCCGCTAAAAATGGAAACATACCAGAGTGTTGGTTTTTACCATTTGGCATAATTATGGAACATGCACTCTTCTCTATGCAGGCCATTCCTTTCCATTATTAAAAAAAACATGTAATATTAGATCTACAGAGGTATGTAAAAGTGTAATGGACCCTATCCAATCTTGGATTCAAATTATTATGGCAGATTTTATTTTTAAAAATATCACATTTTAAGTAAGATACACCAAAACATAAGAGGAGGTTGATACAAAGTATTTCATCTTTTGCTGTATATCACAAATGGGAACTTGATTCTCACAATAAGAATTGTATTGAGCAATCATGACAGACTCAAAAATGAGGAAACCTGATTCCTAACTGAAGACACCTGGTTGAAATTGTGAAACATGGCTCTTACTTTTAATTAGAGGGAAGACATGTGTTATCCAGAGTGTTGTTTTTTTCTTTATATTCGGAAAAAAATAACCTGATCTCAGTCTTAAAATTTTCTTACACTGAACTGTTAAGCTAGAAAAGGCTCTTTTTCTTTCTCCAAAATTCAACTGCAAATTCCCACAGTTCACCCAGAATAAGGTATAGTGACTGGGTCAGGAAAGTAAGCCCAGCTAATGCTGGGTTATTTACTCATTCCAAGTATGCTCAGTTCATTCAATTTGACACATGTGAGTCATGGGCTCATGTATGTCAAATTGCATGTACAACCCCTGCACTGGAGTTGTCATGTCATGCAAACCCAGCAAGTATGGGCTATGTGAAGGTCAAACAAGATGATGGGTCATACAAGCGTTGTTTAATCTTCATATAACCCTAGCTTGCCAGTTTTGTACCACAGCACAATCCCCAAGCAGGGGTATCATGTTCAAATGTGTCTAAACATGCCCCACCACCTCACTTGGTGCCATGTTTTGTCATGCAACATCTTCAGTGCATTTGAAAACAAGTTCTTTACTGCTCACCTATGCCAAATGGCTGACCACAGGAGGTATCATATCATTCAAAATTTAGTGCATTAAGCTTCAAAAGTACTGGACAAACAGCAATTATAACATGCAGGAACCCCATTCAAGCCATTGAAAGTGCTAGGGCTTTAAGAGTATCAGTGCAGCCTCTCCCTGCTCACCAAATGTTTTGAAGTTCAACTCCCAGCAACTT